AAGTCTAACAGCTCAGCCAGCTCAGTGAAACACAAGCTAATGTGGTGTTGGGTAAGAAGGTTCTGTGCCGTCTCATTGAAAACCGAGCCAGTCAACTGCAAGGCTGGCGGGGTGTGATCCTTGTAACGTCTTGTTGTGTCTGTTACTCCACGGATGTCGGTAAGGAGCTTCCACAGAGCCGGCTGTGTACCGCAGAGACACTGAGTGTGGTGAGTGGACTTTGATCTGTGTGTGAGCCAATCGTGTCGGAAAGACTCGGAGTCATCGCCGTCAGTCCACAGATGCATTCAGTGGCAGTGACCAGCACCGTCACCCACCGCTCAGTCTGTCTTAGGGTTCCTCACCTTTTCCTCCACCATCCCAGAGACTGCAACATTTGAGGGGTATTTGTGTGTATTTTTTGGGTGGTGATACATTGGGTTTTTTGTTTGCATAGAGGGGGGACGGTGTTCGGTGTGTTCTTACCACAGAACTTAAAGTATGAATAGGCTCATTCTTCCCCACCACAGGATCCGTCAGATGCGCTCACTGTGCCAGGTACTCTGAGATTAGTGTTCCCCATTTGTTTGACCTGCAGACACTAAGTGTTACACACGGGGAGTGAATTCAGAGATGCTTCTAGTCTTTGGAATCTTGATACTTCTAAATAACTGGTATGACTATTGGGGATTGACCAGCAGATGCCATCTCTTGCCCTCTTGATTCACCTGCTTGCCTTAATTTGTTCCTAAATTCCAACTATATTTAAATAAAAAATAAGAGGGGTTTGTGAAGGCTGTGGTGCCCACTGGGAAGCACTGCCTGGGCTGGAGTATTGGAGGCATTCGCAGACAGAAGGGAAGGAGCTCTCATTGCAGTATTACACAGGCACGGACGGAGGCCGTGTGTGGATACGTTAGGATTGTGTGCTGTTGCCTCTCAAAATACCCCCTAGAAATGGGTATAACCAGGAGAATACAGGCTCTGCCCACTGTTCACTTATTAACAGATTGTCATTTCCTGACATTGCGTCATGTGGCTTTAGAAGCCTGGTTCCCTCTTTTTGTCTTAGTTCAGTTTTCTGCGTCCTAAAATGCCAACCCCAGTGTGTGTCTGGGTAGACAGAACTGTGCTGCTTGTCTGCCATGGGGGCTGTTCTCCCACCTTATCCCCACGCCCGCAGCTCCCTCAGTTACGTGGTGGGCACCGGATGTGCTTGGGTGTGAGTAAAGTCAAACCCTGAATCTCTTGGTATTAATATCTGAGTGGTGTTGCTCCTTCTGCTTTTTGAAAAAGCTTTTCTTGCCATCTTCAAAAAGCTTTTTTCTTTTTCCCAGCATTGCTCCTATGCTGCCATACTTGGCCTTTTTCCTTACTTCCTCTCAATTTTGTATCAACGACTCCTCTCTAAACTTCAGTTCAAAATTAAAAACAGCCCAAAAAAGGCTCTTTGCCACCAGGGGGCAAGGTGGAACACGTTGCTAGTGGTCTGGATAGTGGAGAAGAAATTTTGAATTTTAAAAATTAGCCACCCAGGCCAGGTACAGTGGTTCACGCCTTAATCCCAGCACTTCGAGAGGCTGAGGCAGGGGGATCACTTGAGTCCAGGAGTTTGAGACCAGTCTGGGCAACATAGTGAGATCCCATCTCTCAAAAAAATAATAATTTAGAAAATAAAGATTAGCCACCCTGTCTTCCTTTTCCAGATGCTAAAGGTGATTCCTGTTTGGTAACAGTATCCAGAAATGAGGGGAATAACACATCTGATCGGCCGAAGTCAGCTCTCCTGAAGGTATCTGGAGAGTGAGGATTATGTGCTTCTGTGACATGCTTTGTTCCTTCCTGCCAGGCCAGGGATACAGCAGCCCTTCCCCCCAACCCCCTTTCTGTCACTCTGGGCTAGCCAGGCTCCTTACGTAAGCACAGCAGGGGCAAGGTGGAGCAACCGCGTGTGAGAAAGGACTGGAGCGGTGGCGGGTGGTCAGGGTAGAGTAGGAAGCGTGGGTACCCAGAGGCCACCTGTTCAGACGTCAACTCTTCTTCCCATCTGGCGTGAGCTACTCCATTGAATGGTGCCAACAACAGTGAAGTGAAGGAGATAACTTTAGATTATTTTCAGGGATGATTCTCCAAGATGACAGCAAATCTTAAAACCAAAGAGCTGGTCCTGGAAGAAGGGATCTTGGACTGTTAACTTCTGATGGAAGGAGCAGGATGGGAGAGACATGAGTGCGGGATCTAGAACATAAGGAGGGCCTGGCTCTCTCTGCGAATGAGGCTTCACCATCAGCTTGAAGAATCCTACTGCACACATGTGCCTCTGCGGTTAGTGGTGCTGGGATGTTTAGGGTGACATCTTGAAGGGAGAGCCACTAAAAAGAGGGGCATTATTCACATTTTGCTGTATTCTTGCAGCTGTCCATGTCTTAATAATGCAAGCGTGGAGCGGATGTTTGAGGGCCAGGCACTGACTGCTCTGGGTGCTGGAGATGTGGTGACAAGCCCAGGTCCCTGACGAGCTCCACAAGCTTACTGGACAGTGGCTGTGCAGCTGTTCACAAGGCCGCTGGGGAGGGTGGGTAGACCTGTACCTGTGCATTTCCACAACCAGAAAAGGCAGTGCAGACCTTATTAAATGCAGGTGTACCAGATCTACGTGCAAGAGTGTGATTCACATCACTATATACTTAAGGTAGTAACAGTTTCTTCATGAGGTAGCAAAACTAAGGATCCGTGGGAAGGTTGCTGGTGCAGGTGCTTTACAGACTTACTAGAGACTCGGCCTTGGATTTAGGACATTAGACAAGAGTATAGGATGGAACAAAATTTTTGCAGTAAATGTAAAATATGCTGTGTAGGAGGCAGGCATATAAGGATGCCCCAGCTGTAGGTTCTTTAGATTGTCTATATAGTATTTCCGTGAGTAAATTGTTTTTGATGCGTGTGCTGGTACTGCTGGTGGATTTGAAGTGGAGTCTGGTGGCGGCTTCCACTCTGCCCTCTCACCAGCTTATGTCAATATGTGACATTGTATACAGCAAAACTAGATGAACTTGCACCCCAGTCAGTGGCTCTCAACTTTGTGTCATTATTAGTTCAGAAATTTTGGCCAGGTGCTGTAGTTCACCCCTGTAATCCCAGCACTTTGGGAGGCCAAGGGGGGTGGATCACTTGAGGTCAGGAGTTCAAGACCAGCCTGGCCAACATGGTGAAACTCCTTCTCTACTAAAAATACAAAAAGGCCAGGTGTGGTAGCGTGCACCTGTAATCCCAGCTACTTGGGAGTCTGAGGCAGGAGAATCACTTGAACCCAGGAGGCAGAGGTTGCAGTGAGCTGAGATCGCACCACTGCACTCCAGCCTGAGTTGACAGAGTGAGACTCTGTCTAAAAAAAGAAAAAAGAAATGACATCTAAGCCCCACTGAGCCTCCCGGGAGGAGAGCTAGCCCAGGCCAGCTGTCTCCACGGTGACTGGATGCTGCGGAGGAGCTGGGACTATTACCTTCGCACTTGTGCATCCTGGAGTTGTCAGAACACAGAGCAGTCTCCTAGTTCTGTGTCTGTCTAGCCATGGGATCTGCCATGAAATGCCTGTGGATCTGCCATTGGGTTGGTATTTTTAACTTTCACTTGGGTGAAACTTGTTCATCATTTTAAATAAAGCAACGTGATTTGGAGTTGTGTTTTTAGCATTGTTTTGTCTTTTTCTTTCCTACTCATTTGAAAGTCAATAGAATGTAGTCTGTCAGCAGAACGGGACCTTTTAAAAATCTATTTATACTTTAAAACAATGGGATAGGGCACAAAATGAAGGCCCTGGGCCAGAAGCAGTGATGCACACCTATAATGTCAGCTGCCCAAGAGGCTGAGGCAGGAGGATAACTTGAGCCCAGGATTTCGAGGCTGCAGAGAGCTATCATAATGCCTGTGAATAGCCACTGCACTCCAGCCTGGGCAACATAGTGAGACCCTGTCTCTTATAAAAAAAAAAAAAAAAAAAAAAAAAAAGAAGCACTCCATCTAACATCTTGGTTTATATCACACATCAGCTTAGGCACTGTAATTTTCCCAAAAAAGTATTAAATGCATCCTAAGCAAAAACTGGAACTGTGTTTCTTTAACATTGGGCCTTATGTTTGGCTTGGTACCTGGCATGACCCTCCTGTGTTTATTAAAAATAACTAAAGAGCGGAGTGGGGAGTGATAGGAAAATTCGCTTTTGGTTACAACGTATTTATCTCAAAATCCACTGTTCAGCAACAGAGGCCAGGGAGGATCTGGAGAAACAAAAACAATGGCCTTCATTTCCTTCATGGCACCCTCCCACCCTGCAGGCATTCTGGAATTGTGCAAGAAAGTCCGGTAAGAGGGTTGGCGTTGACCAAAGACCTGCAGCTGAATTTCAGGTCTAGGGGTCCGGAGCGGTGTTACCAGGATGCCTGTGGTGAAGGCTGCTGGCCTCAGCCCCGGAGGCGCATTCTTGGGCCAGGATCTGGAGATGTCCTCTGTGTAAATGCATTAAGGCAACCCTAAGGATTGAAAGCAACTCCTGACATGCCTATAAAACGGCACACGTAATCCGGCTTTATGGTTGCTTTTTGTTGTTTTACAAGGCAATCCAGGCCGTCGTTCCCATGAACCTTCTCAGGTTTACTTTTCTCTCTGCATTCCCCAACTAGCACTTATATTTCCAAAATGCTCTAAGATGAACCGCCGTACCAAGGCGAAAAGATGACAACCTAAGGGCACCCGATAACAGTATTTCAAATTGAACCTGGGCTCAGTCAAATAGTGCCCCAAAGCGTCAAGCCTGCCCAGGCCTGGCAGGGGTTGGCCCTCCTGTGCCTCCCAGGGAGGGGGTCAGGATTCTGCCCCCCCATCCCCGCCCCCAGCCTGTGCGTCTTCCCCGGGGCGGAGGATGTAGGGGGCGGGGTGTGGCGACGGGGGCTCCGCCCCGGGGCGGGGCGCGGCGCGGCGGCGGGGTGCGGCGGGCTCCCTCGGGGTCCCGGCGGGCAGGCACTCGGCGGCGGCGGCGCGATGGAGGCGCCAGCCGAGCTGCTGGCCGCGTTGCCTGCGCTGGCCACGGCGCTGGCCCTGCTGCTCGCCTGGCTGCTGGTGCGGCGTGGGGTGGCCGCGAGTCCGGAGCCCGCGCCCCCGGCCGAGGCCACTGGGGCCCCGGCGTTGTCCACCCCCTACGCCCCCGAGTCGGCGGCCGCGCCCGCGGAGCCGGAGGAGCCCGGGGAGCCCGCGGGGACGGGGGAGCCCGGGGAGCCCGCGGGAACGGGGGAGCCCGCGGGACCGGGGGAGCCCGGGGAGCCCGCGGGGCCGGGGGAGCCTGCGGGACCGGGGGAGCCCGAAGGGCCAGGGAAGCCCACAGCGGCGCCGGCGGAGGCGGAGGAGCAGGCGGCGGAGGCGAAGCAGGTACGCACCGGGGCCCCCGCGGCGCCCTCCCCATCCCGCGGAGCCAGGGAGCGGGGCCGCAGCCTCCAGGCCAGGCTGCCCCCGGGAAGCGCGGAGCCCGCAGCCCGCAGGAAATGCAGGTCCTGCCGTGCTAAGCCTCAGCCCCGAAAACTCACCGACCTCCCCCAAAAAGTGTGGCGAGGGCCGAGCCGGAAGGAGTTTGTTGGGGCGTCTTGCCCTCCCTCCCCTCGCCTGCCCCCAGCCCAGGGCGTGCTCCGCGGCTGCTGGCTCCCAGGCCTCGGGACTTGGAATTTTGCTCCACACCCACCTCTGGCCCCTCCCGCCCACCGGTTCCCAAATCCACGTGCTTGTGGCTTATTTCGAGGGCTGCCATAAGAGTTATATTGATGTTGAAAAAGTAGCACTTGGGGGTGAGGGAGGAAGGCTGGCTTTTCTTTTTCAGTCAGTTTGAACTCCAGATTTGAGGCAGTGCTGTGGCGTTTTGTGAAGCCCATAGGCTGGGACTGAAAGAAAAGGCACCCGATCCCAGCAGTCCTTTTCCTTGTCGTTTTCAAGCTGAACATCTGTCTGCTCCTAACACCCTGCTACCTCCCCCCGCCCCCGTGGTAGGTAAGCCAGGCCTGGAGGGAGTGAAGCTGCAGGATAAAGCCCTCCTGGAGTAGCAATAAGCACCCCAAAGCTCCCTCCCTGCCTCTGCCCCAGCCTACCCCCTGCCGTCCATCAGCTCGGCCCTGGCCACCCTGCCCTGCCTGGGGATATCAGGAGAGGAGTCGAATTTCCCTCATCCACTCATCCCAGTCCCTACACTCTAGACTGGAAACCTATGTGCCCATGTCCCCAGGAGTTCACCGGGCTTGGCTGGTCCAAACCACCACCAGGGTCTCTAGTCGGATTGGAATCCCTTGTTCTTACCCCTGAGCTCCTTTTCTTGGAAGGGAGGAGAGCCGGGCTGCGTTGTCAGCGTGTCTGCGTGCCCACTCTGTCCTGTGCTGGACACAATGGTTTACCCTGGAGAGAAGCCCTTCGGGGGAGGAGGAGGAGGCAGCCTGGCGGTGCTCAGAGGCATTTCTGTTTGCTGTGTAAGTGCGCCAGACCCTCTCTGAGCAGGCGCTTTGCTTGACAAGTGGGTGACTAATTGTGTCATTAGAGAGGACTCTAACCCAGCCCATTTAATGGGATGGAGGCGGGGCGGGCCCTGCGGTTCTTGCTTGGGTGGGCTCACAGACCTCATGGGTGATGGTGGAGGGGGTGGGTTTGCACATGTGCTGAGCTTTTGTGTTTGCTCCCATATTTGGGACTCCTGCCTCCGTCGAGGTCTCGTGGGAGCAGGAGAGGCCTGTGGACAGTTCTGGAGCGGTCGTGCAGCCCCAGTCAGCCCTAGCCTTACAGGGCTTTGTCACCCACACCAGGCTCTGGACTGAAGTGCAAAATGTCCTTTAGCGGCGCCCTATCGGATCTCAATCCTGTGGAGTAGGGCGCTTGAAGAACTTTCTACAAGGCCTTTGGGCTCTCAGCATACATGATACCTACGGGAATAGGTTCAGTGGTGTTTAAATAGGGGCCCTCGAATAATTTGCCTCTCTCTGGGTGAATGCACGTCCTCTCAGGCTGAACAGGTGCTCTGAAGGACAAGGCAGTATGGAGGTTCGTGTACCAGGCAGCCCCCTTGACATAGGGGCCAGTGAGGACGACTTGAGGCTTGTGTCTGTCCTCCCAGTAAGGCACTCTCCGGAGAGAACCCACCCGATAGGAGAATTCAGTTGAAGTCAGTGCCCTTCCGCTTTGGGCCCTCCTGAGCTGGCCAAAGCTCCCACAACTCCTGCGTGCAAACATTAAGCCAGGTGCTGTGGGGACACAGATACTGTGTCATTCATCCCACCCACTCCCAGTGGTGGCATTAACCTAAGAAGCTGCTTAGAAATTGTCTTTATGAGCTTCAAGTCAGTGACAAGCAGAAAAAAAAGAGGAAAAGAAATTGTCTTGAAGTGGACTCCAGCGTTTCTAAGAGCTTTCAGTGCTTTCTTCCGATGAGCACACTGCTGGAGCTTGGAGGATGGGGGCGGGGGGCAGGGGAGAGAGTTCCCCTGGGGAAGATAACTCAAATCGGGGTTGGGAAGTGGGCCGATGCCCTCTGCCAGCCTCCTCCCTCCCTCCCTACTCGAACCCCACTAACAGCAAGGGAGGAGGGCAACTCCACTGCTGTTAGCTGGGAAGTCACTGCCCTGGGGAGCAGCGCTTAACTCACCTCTCCCCTCCCTCTTCGTTTTCCATTAACTGCTTCCTTTCTAATCCAGTCCTCTCCCTTCCCAAGGAGGCCTGGGTAGGCTGGGGCAGCTGCTGCCTCTGACTACAAAGCTGATTATTGAGAAGGATCTCTCGCCCTGGGAAGCAGCCTTCAGCTGCTGTTGGGGATCACTCAGGAGCATCCTTGAGGCACACTCTGCCCTCTTTGGCTAAGGACAAAGTGGTGGGGAGGGGCCACTATGGGCTGAGACCCGGAAAAATGGACCAAAGAAATGGGGATGGGATCAGCGCAGCCCTTACTTCCCCAGGGCAGCACAGGCCAGGGCAGGGAGGCAGAGGAGAAAATGATACTGCTAGAACCTCCTTTCTCACCTAAGGGTTAGCTAGAGGTGGGCAGCGGAGGAAGCATTACAGGCAAGTCCTGTTCACACAAAGAATCATGACCCAACAATGTCAAGAACAAGAGCTGACACCAAGAAAGGAGTCAGGGCTTTCTTGGTGCTCCTCCGTAGGTTGGGGTTTTAGGATTGCCAGGCCTCTTACCTAATGCGGATTCGAGTCAGGCTGTATGGTCGGATTCCCAAACAGTGGCCATTGGCAAAGGGTCATTTGAATGGCACTAGAGTTAAATCTCCTGTCTGTGCCAGGACTCAAAACGTCTCTGTGCTTGGGGCCTAGCTCTGCTCAAAGACTGAGTAGGGACCTCCTGCAAGGCAGCAGCAGGCTGGCGTCAGGAGGCACACAGGGAGACTCTTCTAGATTTAATTGGGATTTAGGAGATTAAAGCAATATGACAAATAAATACAATCTTGATCCTTGATTGGATTCTCCATCAGGGATAGGAGTAGGGAGCTATGAAGGACATACTGGAGACAACCGAGACATTTTTTAAATGAATGGGTGTGTTAGATAATCTTGTTGAATCAATGCTGAATTTTTGGTGTATGATACTGGCAGATGGCTGTGTAAAAAATGTCCTTGTCCTTAGGAGGATGCATGCGGAAGCATTTTGGGATGACATGTCATGATTCAAATGGTTACAGTGTGGGTGTGTACGGAGAGAGAGAATGCAAAGATGGCAGAATGTTCACAATTGCCGGATCTGGGTGAAGGGTGGATGGTATTCATTGTATTATTCTTTCAACTCTTCTGTAGGTTTGGAGTTTTTCAAAAGAGAATGTTAAAACAAAGAAGCCCAGTGGGACATTTCTTGGAAAAGGGGTTGGTTTTTCAGACACTCTGCTGGTGGTGGTCTGAGCGGTAGCACAGCCTCCATCTGTCTGACTTCACCACCTGACTCAGCCCCGGTTCCCCTGAAGTCATCCTGCTGTCAGGTCCACCTGTGTCCTCTGCCCTCACGAGCCTGTTCACCATAGATGTGACCCGTGGAAGCTGCAGAGACACCAGCCTTCCCAGAATGACCCAGGGGCGGGTGAACATCCCCATCCTCTGTCCTGGGCTTTGTGACGGCAGTGTGGTCCTATTTTCTGTTCTCTTACCAAAAGCTCAGAAGCCAAGTAGTGGAGGGCCAAATAGATATTTGGCAGTTGTTTATATCACTTTAGGTTCTTGTCTTTAAGCAGCTTAGGCTGATATATCAAAATACCACTGGATTGCTTAAGCAACAGACATTGTTTCTTGTACTTCTAGTCCAAGATGGAGGTGTTGGCGGATTCCAGTTTTGGTGAAGGCTCTGTTTCTGGCTTGTAGACAGCCACCTTCTTGCCGTACTTTCACATGGTAGGGACATGGGGGTGTCTCTTCCTCTTCTTATCAGGGCCCTAGTAGCATCGTAAGGGCGCCACCATCATGACTTTATCTAAATCTCACCTCCTGAAGGCCCCCCCCCAAGTACCATCACACAGGGGGTTAAGGCTTCAACATATTGATTTGCAGGGGACACAGATATTTAGTCCAGAACAGGCCTAGTGACTTACTGTGGCAAAAACTAGAAATAATCCAAATGTTTATTAATTAGGACATTGGATTCATTAGCAAATTGGCATGAAATAAGTAAAAAGGCAGAACGTAAAATATTGTATTCACAGTAATCACAGTGATATACAGCAGTTGAATAGAAGACGCCTGAGAGGGCTGTCAGTGAAGCTCCGTGTTCAATACTTCTAGTGGGTATTTTAGGGTAAAGTTGTTTAAGCACATAATTTAATTTTTTCCATATATGAAAAAAAATTAGCCCCGGGGCTTTCCTAATGGCTAAACTTTGTTCTTTCGGAGAGAAAGAGTAATGTCAGTTAGAATTTTCTACTTAGCCAGAAGTAGTACATTTTTAAAGAATATGTCTTGAGAAAAAAAGCCACCTAGCTTTGGAGAGTTAGAAGTAAAATGGTGAGCATGTTCACCTGCAGACAGTTTCTTTTTTGTAGCCCTGCTCTTTCCCAGTCAGCCCAAACCACAGTGTGGGAGGAGTGAGACCAGCTTAGGCCTCTGGTGGACAGTCTTCCAGAGAAATGCCAGACCTGATGACCAGGAGTATTTCTGGAACCTGCATTTGACCACACTGGGCTTGCCACTGTTAAGGATAGAGGCATGGAACAGGACGAGGAGGTCAGGTTCCAAGGCCCTTCCTCTAAGGGGGCCTCATGCAGAGCTGCTTTTGAGACAGAGTTTTGCCCTTGTCACCCAGGAATGCAGTGGCGCGATCTCAGCCCACTGCAACCTCTGCTTCCCGGTTCAAGCAGTTCTCTTGCCTCAGCTTCTCAAGTAGCTGGGATTACAGGCATGTGCTACCATGCCCG